CGAGCCCCTCTCAGACGCGCAGCAAACGCAGCCAGGGCCAGGGCCACTTGGCTCAGCATCGGCGAGGGATCCATCGAATCCATCGGATGTTCAGTGGGATGTTCTCTGCATCCCGTGTCATGGTTTTCAATCTGACTGGCATTTGGCACGTGCCTTGGTCAACGCGCAAACCACTATTCATGAGGAGGCTGCAATTCAAAATGTGCACGTCGATGCCGAGCTGTTGGCACTTCTAGCTGCTGGCCATGATGAAAGGAAGCGCGTGCAGCGCTTGGGAAATCTAGACCGAAGAGTTCGACTTCTTGCCTTAGCCCAAAGGGAGCAACTTGCAGTGCAGATTTCTTTACTGTACACACACATATATTTATGGATATGTATATGTATATGTATATGTATATGTATATATGTATATGTATATGTATATATGTATATGTATATGTATATGTATATGTATATGTATATGTACATGTATATGTATATGTAGATGTATATGTACGTGTATATGCGTATGTAAATCTAAATGTATATGTATCAGTATCATTATTGTGAATATAATGCAGGCCAGGTTGCACCCCAAGTGCATGTTTATAGGTAGCACAGTCAGGCCGGCATGGGGCTGGAATCAAACCTTACTCTTACGCCCCGTTGTCTGGCTCAAGCTCGGAGCTGCGCTTTGAGCATTAGAACTTTGCGGGGTCTTACAACTGAAACACGGAGCACAACCAGGTCAGTGCCCAATCTTAAATTTTAGGTCATCAGCTACATGCTCTCAACTGGGCAGGTTGGGTCCACCTGGCCCAAGAAGGTCAGGCAAAAGGATTGGCTTTGGGGGGCAAAACTAAAGACCCTTTCCAAGCAGATCCAGCGGCCAAAAGGTCGCAATGTGGCAAAGCGGGCCCTGTGGTGTGGGGCAAAGTGAAGGTCCTACCCATCCACTGCCGCCACTAGCGCTGCAGCCTATCGGCGGGCCACCTTCTTTTTGTGGTTTCAAAAGCGCCACCGCTGGACAGCGTCACCGCCCTTGAAGTGGGGGGTGTGAATAGAATAGAATGTGGCTGGCAGCTCTTAAGGCCAGCGCGTCCCATGTGTTCCTGGCACCGCTTTCCCGGTGACAGGGCGCATGTGGGGTGGGCATAAACCACACATATATGTATATGCACAGGCGTGCATATGTAGTTGTAGATGTATATGCAGGTGTATATGTAAATGTAAATGTATATGTATATGTATATGTACATGCAGGTGTAGATGTATATGTATTTTCATTTTTCCATTATTTTCTTGTTTTCTGATTGTCTCTATTATAGTCACTGTGAAATGAGCTAGTGAGCTGGTGCTGTTGGTGTGGTCTAGCTCTTGACCTTGACCGGTAGCGCTGAGGTTGAGACGGCGTGAGGTTCTGTTGGCAGAGGAACGCGAAAAGCGTCAAGCGGGAGCCATGGAGGAACTCATCTCTCGTGGGTTCGCAGAGAGTGACATTGAGGCACCTCACACACCTCAGAACACACAGAACACAATTTCGTGGACACAACGCTGCCACAATGTTTCATACTAAGCAGATCAGTAGATCATGTAGACTGCAGACTTGTGCTGGGTCAACTGTCATTGCGTTTGCGATCTGTGTGTGAACGATCATTGGGTCGCGACAGGTGGCGATGCCTTATTGCGATGGGAGTGCCATGAGATGTGAGGCAGTGTTGAAGGTGGCTTTTGACGCTTGGAGCACCAGACATTCCCATGCTTTTCATGAAGTCGTTTATCAACATGTTTCAGATTCTTAAGTGTGGTAAGGCTTGAGACGTGTGCGTATCAAATGAACAAACGGTTCAAACCATGATACCATGTGACAACTTGGCCTAGCGTTCGTCTTTGATTTTGAGTACTGTAAACAACCCAATCCTTCTCAGTTTTCCTATGCTTTCATTACTTTCAGGCCAAATACAGGTCCAGTCTGGAGCAAGCAGCTGCTGGCAACCTTGGCAATGTGGAAGTACGTAAGGCTGGGGTCATAGACAATTCTGAGTCGCATTGGTCGAATCCAATTTTGATGACACGGTTTTTACGTACAAAACTCCCTGATTCTTTCACTTGTAAATCTTGGGTGTTGACGTGTCCTGCTGCGACAAATCGCAATATATATATATATATTGTGTATGTGCTCATTTATACGCACATATGACATATGGTATAAAATTGATTCTGATGGCTCTTTCAGAGTTCTGTTTTTTATTGGGTCTTGGGACGTTCAGAAAGAGACGCAGTCATTGAAGATAAATAGCATTCAGTGAGTTTCTCCAGGCCAATCGTACGCTTTTTGGTATTTCAAACTGGCTCCTCAGCTGCAATGACTAGATTGCAAAGATATGCAAAGATGAAAGTCTTCTTACATATCCCTGGATTTTGTAGGCCCAATTAACGAACGCATCAAATTCATTTGCAGAGTTTGTTCTGGGCAGAGAATCCGAGTTTACCACTTGGCGTTGGAGCGTGATGAGCAGTACAATTAGAAGAGCATTTTAGGGCTTACATGTTTACATGTTTACATGGGTTTACGGTTTGCCCGATTTACCATTGACATCGCTTTGCATTGGTTCATATTGGTTCACCCAAGTTTACCCAGCCTGGTTTCCCGTGTTTCCTGTGAGGCTTGGAGGTTGCCCAGCGTTGGCCCTGCGAGCACTCCAAGTTGCTGAGGGCGCCACGCAGCTGGAAGAAGCCGTTGCACTGATTGCCAAGGAGCAAGAGGCACATGACGTGTCACATGGACAGTTGGCCCATTGCTGGTACAAATGCTGCACTTGTATACATATTATACAGTATACACTTGTTCTGCTGGCCTCATGCAAAGCGAACGCAGCATTTTGGTTAAGATTTGGCAACGCCAGCTACAAATATCTAAACATGCTGATGTGCTCTCAGAAATTGCCTTCCTTCAACGGGAGGCCAAGTTTCGAATAGATTGCAATCTTCGTCTTGACGCTGCCCTTGACAAATCCAAGAAGTCTGAGCAGCATGCGCACGCCAAAGCTCACGGAAAGAAGGATGCACAAACTGATTTGTTCGTTCCATGTTTGATTTGCCATGACAGTGAAATGAGATAAAATTAGGCTTTCAACGCTAGCATTCCTGCATCATCTTGCATCATCTTGCATTCACTTACACAAGAACTTGCAGGAGCGGTGTCTGGGACAAGCCGCGCAAGCGGCTCCGTCCAGGTGGATGTTTTGCTGCGGATCTTTGCTCCATGGCCTTTGCGCACGGGGACAGCTTCTAGATGTCGCCAGGCAGGGAAGCAGATGGAAGCAGTCTTTTAGGACGAAAAGACTGCGAAGTGCAACACGCTTCCGCACACAGCATTGCAAAATATTGCAAACACAAACAGTGTCAATTGTCATGCTGTCATGCTGGCGGCGATGGGTCGTTTGAAGGTTGTTGGGTGTCCATTCTTGGGTGCGGCTCAAAACCCACATTTAATAGCTTGTTTTCGTTGTCTGGAGGATCTCGAGGTATTTGACTTGGCAGCCAGTGAGCTCAGCAACAGAGTCAGCCCCGGTGGAAGAAAAGCGTTGGCTGCAGGAAGCCGTTGTTGTTTGTATCATTTTGTATCATTTTGTATCCTGGACTTTGGACGTGCTGACCTCTTGGCCACGCGCAATGACATATCCTTGGATTCCCCTGGGATTAAAAAAATACACCTTCCCAGGAAACCAGTTGGAGCACCGTGGAACCAATCAACAATGAACATGTCTCTGCGATTCGCCTTCTTTGATTCCCATAAGTTTGCATTATCGCAAGGCTCCACTTTGCCTACAAATACGGCAGCAGCAGTGCCAGTGATGCACTCTTGGCCTCTGCCAATGCCGGGGGCGAAAATGTCCACCGGAACCAGGCACTGTGGAGAGAATCATGTTGAATCAGTGTTCAAGAATGTTCAAGATACTGTAAGCTTAAGCGGATTTCAGCGCTGTTCGAATGTGTTTCATGTGTAGACCTGTAGGGGATGGCGGTTGGGTCAGGTCTTTGGTTTGCTCCTTGGAGCATCCCAGGGCAAAGCTGGCTTAAATGGCTTCGAGGAGTGTCAAATATGAAACAAATGTAAAATGGGATTCGGGATGATTCCGGATGATTCGGATGTTCTGGCAAACTTCAACGATCTTCAACGGTTCCCTCCAAATGTTTGCACTTGCACTTGCGTTTCATGTCGGACACTGCTGTTTCATACTTTGAACTCGCGAGGAGGGTCTGAAGAGCTTTCAGGAGTTGGACACCGAGATAGCAGCTCTTATCAAAGCCTTGAAGGCGAGGGACTGGGGTGAAACGGTGAATGTGCGAATTTCCCAAAGAACATCCAATGAATGCTCAGTGTACCAATCTGCAAGGAGCCAGCTGGGTCCCCTCGAGAGCTGTGACCATGTTGAATGGCTTCCGCTCTGCAGAGGAGATCTGCAAGAGACAAAAATGGAGCTGCAAGAGAGCATGGGGAATCATTGGAATTCATGGTAATAAAAACCCACAAAAAACACATGGACGCGCATTATTATTACTATTATTATTATTGTTATTGTTATTATTATTACTATTATCATGCACTATAATTATATATAATTCGTCAGTTTTACTATTTTAGTATTAAATTACTAATTACTATATTTATTGTTGCTCATTTATTTCATTGATGTGCTTCGGAGAGGCCAACCTGGTTTGGAAACTCTTAGAACTCCTTTGGCACCTGTAGTCAGGCCTGTGTGACCGGCCGCGCTTCGGTCATTTGTACAGATGTAAGCAGATGTAAGCAGAAACATAAATTTTTCCAAGCAATCGGCAAAGATGCCAGTGCTTGCAAATCGAGACCTCAAGTCATGTTGCTGACCAAAAGCTGCGCCTGTGGTGCTGCAGATTCTTTTGCGAGCTGGACAGATATCTTTTGTTTGTTTGATATGCATCTTGTTGCAGATTAAATCGAAACGCTGCACACGCACACCCACATGAATTCAACCAGCAAACCTGGAGCAGCCAGCTGATTGTCCATTTGTACAAGTCAGCTTGTGTCGCTTATGTTGAACATTGATAGGGAATCCAAAAGGCTTCTCAGACTTGATGTGATCTCACTGCACAGGTCTTCGGGCCATCATCCATCAGCTCACAGAGGTGTCGATCCAATTTTCGCCCGCGCTACATGGACTGATTCACAAACATATCTGGCCACATACATACATCTCTATAGCTATGTTAGCTATGTCTATATCTATGTCTATTTTTGCGCGTGTGTGTGTGTGTGGACATAGCTTGTGGCATTGATGATGACTAGTGACTTCCAGAGATTGAAATGTCTCCATTTCAGCACCTGGCTTGTGTCAGGCAATCGCTTTTGGCCGCGAGGCGGGCAGTCGTTCACCTTCGTGATTTGAGTGCTGTATGCATGTACGCATGCAAGGGCCCACTGAGGTTCAACGTGCAAGATCACGTCAACAAGTGGTCACACTAAGCCGCCAAACCACTTGAAACAAATTGTTTATGTTTGATATGTTTGATTTCAATCTGGCGTTCCAGGTGAGCAGGGACAGTCTGGCAGCACCTGTACTCACAAAGCGAATCCCCAATCCATGGAAGGTTTCCGTGGAAATGGAAGTCGGGACGCTTCGTGCCACAAACCGAGTGGTGACCTTCCATTTCCTGGCCGCCTGTACCTGAGCAAGCCACGTATCCGATGTAAGACATGAATGACTGTTGTCAAATTGCAAGACACACACACACACATGGTGACTGTGCTGTGCTGCGCTAGGACCAGTGTGCACTGACAGCCGCCCAAACAAGATGCCCTTGTTTGCAGCCACGCGCTAAGGACGTCTTTGCGCAGGCAGGCCTGCAGCCACCACCAGATGCCACAGCAAAGTCGAGGACTTGGGTCAGAAATGGTCAGAACACAAGCTGAGCCAAGCCAAGCAGGCAATTAGAGCAACTAATGAGCTTGTGTGCATATATATATAATCGATGCGCTGAGGCCGGCATATCAACCTTCAAACACTTTCGCTCCACCCTCCAAGGATGCAATGCTCTGACCCCAGTGAGAGACAGTGCAGGTATTCTTTTCGAACATCTTGCTCTTTAAGGATTTGAAGCGTTTTATGACTGTTTGCAATTCCTTGCGTGAATTCAGGTCGTTGACTGTCGACTCCAGTCATTTCCGTGGTACAGTGCATGCCAGGGCCCCGGTCCCCACAGCCAACACCCGCAACGGGGTTGCCTCCGTTGCCTCCGCATTTTGTTCAATGCTGGACGTTATCGCAGCATCCGAGGCCACTGACCTGGGCGGCTTCCACGACTCTACGTCCAGCCTTCCCCAGACGCAGGTAGGGCATGGTAGGGCCGTAGGGCATGGTCGGCTCTTTGAGATGCCGACAGAGAGAGAGAGAGAGATTCCATGATCCTCAGGTAAAAAGAGTTGACATGAGTTGACTAAAGGTGGCCATAGGCCGCAGTCTTCCTCATGCAAAGCAGCGATTCACTTGATTGGCGTGCCTAGACTCAGAGAGTGTCATAGTGTCATAATTAGTGTCATAGTGTCCTAATGATCCTAATGTCATAGTGATCATGAAGGGATCAGAAGTGATAGTCGTGATAGTCGAGGAAGCTCTCTTCAGCGCTGCTGTAGCAGTGCTAGCAGAGTGCCGGAAACCAGGCTTCCTTTGGCAGCTCCAAAGAGCAGCTGGCACAGAGGGAGGCGTGGCTCAGACTGGGCGATGGTCAGGGCATCAGTCACGTGCTGATGGCTGCACTGTTGCGAGTTGCGACTGTTGCGACTGTTGCGACTGTTGCGACTGTCTGACTAAGATGTTCAGTGCATGCTCACTAAGCCGCCAGGCCAGGGACAGATTCCTGGCTGGGATCGGTGAAGAAGCGGAACAAGCCTGGCAGCAGCCACGGGCCAAGGTCGACCAATGGATTCTGTGTCACCAATACGACGCGAGATGAATAGAGGAGATAATATAGAATGATATAGAATATATAGAATCATATAGATATTCGGAATGAAACAATCCTTTGTGTTGGCATCCTTTTCCCTCGTGGCCTTATGCTGCTTGTGACCTGGAGATGCGCCATGCTGTACTAAACTCACCTCCTTTGAACGCCTTTGAACTTGAACGTGGGCTCAAGGCAAAGGTTGGTGAAGAGCGAGGATGCAAGCACAAATCCTTAATACTTCATTCTGCTTTGCAATTCTACTATGTCCCCAACCATACCCACTTCATGCCACTTTGGATCAAAACCCTTGGCTTAAGCCTTAAGCACAACCAATGGCCCAAGTCTTTGACAGACCATGCCAAACTTTAAACGTGCTTAATTGGTACCATTTGACCCAAATTACCTAAGTCATCCTAAGTCAAAGATTGGAATACTCCAAGACCCGAATACTGGACACACGCACATCGTGGCCATGAACTGAGCTGTGCGACTGACTGCTCAGCCGCTCAGCCGCTACAGATTTCAATGTCTTGACTCTTCTCCTATCTGATTATCTTCTCCTTCTTTTCACCTTCATTTTCTGTCTTAACTATTTTCACACATTGTGGCATTTTTTTGGAGGATGTCTCTTGTTCAACCTTGCTTCGCTCGCTTCTGGTGACTTAGCTTGCAGCACCTCAAACCCCATGTGTTAGCTGCGATGCCCAAGGTGCAGAATCAGAATGGCACGGCGCCAGGCCAGCAAAGGGCTGCCATCGAAGGGCGAGAAGCAAAATGAGAAGCCTTTCATCGGCAAAACACCGATGTTTCCGCCATGCCCATGTCTACAATATGGCAGGCCGGTGATTCTTCTGACATTTGAATACATGTTGTGAGACTTTTGGAACTTTGGCAGCCTTGGGCAGTTGCACCTTTGCGGCATGCGGGTTATTCCGTCCACATTGCCTGCACATTGGTGCGGTCCTGCAGGTATTTGGACAAGCTTGGGAGCCAGAAGCGAGCCCCACGGTACACCTTCTCCAGAAGTGAGTCGGACTCTCCTCTGCTTTCAGCGGATTGTTAAAGCAATTCTGACAAAGATATGACAATTCTACAGCCACAGATAAGTTTTACCTTTATCTTTTTTGTTTTGGAGTGGCAGTTGGGCGTGGCTTGTACTCAGTCTTGCGGTGCTGCAGCAAATTCCATGCCGAAAGCTGTGCAAATTTCCCATAGGTGACATTGGCTCAAAAGGGAAGAGACTACAAATAGTTCAGACAATCTCGGGTTGGTCGCTACCTTCAGACCGCCATGGCTGGTTACATGATGGCAGGATATGGCATGCAGGGAGTGCAGCCGATGCAGCTGACCGCGGAGCAGCAACAACAACAGTACCAACAGTACCAACAAATGCAGCAACAACAGCAGCTGCAACAGCAGCAGTACCAGCAACAATACCAGCAGTACCAACAGCAACAGCAACAACAGCAACAACAGCAACAACAGCAAATGCAACCTCAGCAGTATCAACAGTACCAGCAGCAGCAGCAGCCGCAACAACAGGGGAGTCAAGGACCCTTGTCAGTGGCAGGCTGTGCTGATCCAACAGTTGGGAACATAGTCCGTGGCACCTTCAACTTGATGACTGAAAATCATGGGCGACCAGTCTACAAAAAGAGTGAGGTCGTAGCGAACAATCCAACCCTCGATGTCTTGATCTACTTTTGGGACGAGCGGGATGGTGCCAACTTCTGCGGCTGGTGGTTCGGGCCAAAGGTTGGAGGAGACCAAGTCTGGGCCTACAACAGCGAAAGGAGCGCAACACCTCCATCCACCGGTTGGAGGGTCCCATACGATGGTTCCGTAGATCCGTCTTTTGTGATCAGCGGTGGGCAAGGTGGGCAGCAGGCCTATGGGCAACAGGCCTATGGGCAACAGTACCAGCAACAGATGTACGGGCAGCAACAAATGACGCCACAACAGTATCAGCAGCAGCAAATGCAGCAACAACAAATGCAGCAACAGCAGATGATGCAACAGAAGCAAAGGGAAGAAGAACAGCGTCGGCAGGAACAACAGAGGCGTGCTGAGCAACAAGGAGTGATGAATTGCCAACAGATTCTGCAGAAGCTGACTGGTGTGACGCCTGAGACCATTGATCACATCAAAGATGAGGTGGAAAAAATGGTGATGCAGGAGCTGCCAAAGTGCGGAAGTCAGGCAGAAGCTGTGAGAGCTGAGGCTGCCCAACAGATTCAAATGGCACAGGTGAGAGTGGAGCAGGTGAAGCAGCAGCGGATTGAGGAGGAGAGGCTGAACGGTGAGCGCTGCGAGTTTGCCAAAAAGGTCCTGGCAGAGTTGATTGCTTTGGTGACCCAGGCCATATCTCAGCAAAATGTGACACCAAACAGTCACCAAACATGTTGATGGTCCTGGTGGTAGTGTAGTGTTGTAAAGGAGGACGAAGAACTGTAACAGGTATGTATATTGAACATGTTGAACATGATCATGTACTGTATATAATATGTTTGAAAAGTGGGGTTTCTCCAAGCCTACCTTGGCAAGGCTGAGCAAGACACTGCGGCCCTGAAAACCACAGCAGCTCCTGTTCTTGAATCCAAGATCATGAGTGAAGAAGATGCTCGTAGCGCTGGAAAGGCTGTTAGCGAGGTCTCTGTTGCTGCAAAGGCTTCTTGCAAAGCTTGCTCCGATTTCATCGTGGAACGCCGAATGAACATCGATTCTGTCAAGCCTCCCCTGTTGGCTCCGTTGCGGGAGGAGCAGCTCAAGATCCAGGAGCGCATTCAGGAGTGCTACAAGATCGTGGTATCCTCAACCATTTCGGCCAAGGTGATGATTGACAAAGCAGTCAAGAAGACCGCGGCCACCAAGACCCTTGAAAAACGCACCTCTGCCTTTGAGAAGTACAATGGCAAGAGGGAGGTGATGACAATCGACGAAATCCTCGCATACGCCAAGGGCGAGTACGCATTTGCTTTTTCGAAGGAGGCAGCGGCAGTTGTTGCCAAGAAGTATGGAGATGGCAAGAGCGTGCCGCGCGTGCACTTCCAGCGTATCAAGGTTGCCGTAGGCATTGCTCGGGAAGAAGAGGCTTCCAAAGCACGGAAGAAGGAGGCTGAAACTTGTCCGGTGAAACACTAGCCTTTCAAATCTTTCAGGGCGCTGCGTTTGATGTAGGTGCTTCTAGGTATTTTCCGGTATTTTGGATCCGTGTCTGATTCGATGAATCTTAAAGGCAGGTGATTCAGCTCATCTGAGGAACTGAAGCGTTTGGCACTTGAGGCCAAAAAGAAGGCCATTGAAGCTGATATCCAGAAGGTGGCGGACGTCTTGGCAGAAGCGGAGCCAGCTGTTGCGAAGGCAGAAGAAGCAGGAAAGACAGAGCAATTGTCACGAGACTATCTGAATGCTACTCCTGACAAAGATGCAGTTACAGCAGCCATGGAGTCAGCTTCCGCTGCTCTGAAGGATGCTCAAGGCGAGTTGGGAGATGTGAGGACACGTCTCAGTGACTTGGTGTCTTCTGCAGATGATGATGTGAAGCAATGGGTCACCATCGAGATCCGAAAAGTGGAGATGAAGGTGGCCGCAATGGATGCTCGACTTGTGCAGACCGGTCAGGCCGGTGAGCGTGGCCGTCACTTCTTGCAGATGCTCGAGGCTAAGGAGTTGCACGCGGCAAAGATTGAGGTCGCAAAGTTGCTGCGATCCAAGAAGTTGGACGTAGAAGAGCTCTTCAAGGCATGGCAGCATGGCGGAAACGAAACGAAAACATGGCCCATGGCGCCCATGGCTAACAACATCTCAACATCTCTTAAGATAATTTGAAAACTGTTTGGGAACTGCGTGTGGCTGTTGTTTGGTTGGCAGGTTGGGCATTTGGGTCATCAACGAATTTGGATACAATCTAGACTTTCCGCTGTGCAAATATGTCAAATATGTTGACCTCTTGTGGTGATCAGTGATCAGCGTCGGCTTGCCGATTTAGACATATCATGAGATATCCACCGTCTCCACCGCATCCACGCCGTATCCATCGTGCCCTGCCACAGGCAGCCGACAAGGACGGTGATGGAGTTGTGAACCTGGTGGACTTTACTGCTCTGATCGAAGGATGCGAGGGCTGCAAGCTCAGTGGCGAGAAGATCGAACAGGTGTACAACATGTACAACGATGCGGGCTCCGGCAGCTTCAGCAAGGAGACCCTCTTCTTGGCATCTCGCAGTTACTACTTCGTGGCGGCTGAGACAGTGCTAAGCAGCACCGAAAACCTCGACGGTGAAACACTTCGCCGTTTGGAGCTGAAGGAGCTGTTGGAAGTGTTGGAAGGTGCGTTGCTTGCTGACAACGATATTCAAAGACACCTCGGTATGGCATGGTAGTGATAAAGATTGATAAAGTATCTAAACTACTGATTCAATAGTTGCCTAATGTTTTCATACTGTAGGTTCTTAATTCATGAGTCTTTGAGCGGATTCTAATGAATTTTAGAGTTCACTTCGGCGTTTGCCCATGCCCATTTTGCCCTGCACCTCAAGAATCTTTGAATCCTTGACAATTTTGACAATAAAGATTCTCAACTCCCAGCTCCCCAGCTCCCAATGGGCCCTTTGGAGGTCCTGTGGAAGAGGCCAGTACCAAGATTTCCCGCGTACGCTGCCGAGCTGTTTTCGACGGCGTCGAGGGGTGGGTCACAATGGCAGGCCTGTGAGATTCATGTGAGTATGCAGACTGTCAAAGACTTGGTGTCACCCAGGGTACTCAGGGTTCAAGTTAGAAATTTGGAACATTGAAACTCAAGTCTATTTCTCTCTCTTATTAGGTAGGTTGGATAGCGATTTCGGAAGGGCGCGCCCACTTTTTACGCTTGACACTTGAATTTCAATACTCGACTACAGGCAACAATGGCACAGAGTACCTCATGGCATCAGATGGCAACTTGGAAGTTGTACGAGAAGTGCCACTTACAGATGCCTTGCACGAGGGCAACGTCTTGCGCCAGTTGAGCCACGGAGAGAAGTTGGAGGTGCAGTGAATGTTGGAAGTCTAACAAAGTTGGCCGCTGTTGGCATTGTTGGCTTGGTTTCTGCTGCCCCTGCAGGGTTTAATATTGTGCAATGTTAAAATACATTAATTAACATACATTATAGTTCAAAGATGTTCAAACATGCTGAGACATTTTCAGAAAAGCTTACATGCTTTTAAGACCTTTTAAGCACTTCTCTGCGGATATGATCACGTTTCAGCACATTTCAGCACACCTTGGAGGTCCTGGAGTGGGACAAGAAAAACCCCGCCGAGGATGTTCGTGTCAAGGTGAAGGTGAAGGGCTCTACAGACATGGGCTGGGTGACCAGAGCTTCGGCCGATGGCATGCAGTACTTGAAGATCCAGTGAGTGCGATGTAGCACCTGCATATGAAGCAGGACTGTCTACACAGTCGCTATAATTGTCTGAGAGTTTTGCGAGTGATGCGGATCTCTTTGTCGATCCGTTGTTATGACCGTGTGAAGGTACGCCCAATCGGGCGCAAAATCTTGACGGACCACTCTGCTCGCAGGTGAGGATTAAAAAAGTAGGGGATTCGCGGCAGTGGGAGACATGCAGAAACGATGTATGAAAACCATATGAAACCTGAAACATCCTGAAACAATGATGCGACACTTTTTTGAAAGAATCTGATGTTTGGAGAGGGGATTCGTGCTTTTTCTTCCAAGCCTCTAAGGATTCCGGCTTGGCGGCCAAGACTGCAGCGCAAAACATTCAGCCAGGGCAATACAAAGCAGATCGCGACTTCGTGAGCGACACAACCAGGGAGGTCAGCAAGAATGTAGATGCTCGATTCCGGAAATCTCCTGGGTCGCTTGGACTCCCTGATCCGCTTGGATCATTTTTCTGTGTTTCTGCAATCTGAAATCTTACGAAATATGAAGCTGTAACAGAAGCATTCAAAGACATTCAATTCATTTTCAAAGATATTTAAACATATTCATTTTGATCATATTGCTCCGGCGTGCCGAGTGGATCACCATGGATCACCATGGATCACCTGTCCTTGTACTGCCTTGTACTGTGAAAGGCACGGGGGTCGCATTTGCCCCTATTCCATCTTGGGTCGCATTTGCCCCTATTCCAAGGGGGATGAAGTGGGTTTAGGGGCGAATGTGACCCTCCTTTAGGGGCGAATGTGACCCCTGCTTTTGCGTGGCAGGCGCAATAGTTTCAGAGCCTCAAAAGGATTTTTTCCACCCTAGAGAGTGATATTCACGTGTTTTTCTACGTTCCAACAGCCATTTCAATCAACTTCCAGGACACTATGCATGCTATGGTGTTCCATTGCTATACGTTGTAACATCCATTTCCAGCAACTTCCAAGACGCTTTGGATGTTACCTTCCAACAGCCATTTCAATCAACCTCTAGGACACTATGGATGCTACGTTGTAAGATCCATTTCGAGCAACTTGGAAGACACTTTGGATGCTACGTTCCAACAGCCATTTGAACCAACTTCCAGCACACAATGGATGCCACGTTGTAACATCCAGTTCGAGCAACTTGGAAAAAGCCTCGGATGCTACGTTCCAACAGCCATTTCAAGCAACTTCCAGGACACTATGCATGCTACGGTGCACCATTCCTACGTTGTAACATCCATCTCGAGCAACTTCGAAGACGCTTTGGATGTTACCTTCCAAGAGCCATTTCAAGCAACTTCTAGGACACTATGGATGCGACGTTGTAAGATCCATTTCGAGCAACTTGGAAGACACTTTGGATGCTACGTTCCAACAGCCATTTGAATCAACTAGCAGCACGCTATGGATGCTACGTTGTAACATCCAGTTCGAGCAACTTGGACGACGCCTCGGATGCTACGTTCCAACAGCCATTTGAATCAACTTCCAGGACACTCTGGATGCTACGGTGTACCATTGCTACGTTGTAACATCCATCTCGAGCAACTTCGAAGACGCTTTGGATGTTACCTTCCAACAGCCATTTCAATCAATTTCTAGGACACTATGGATGCTACGTTGTAAGATCCATTTCGAGCAACTTGGAAGACGCCTCGGATGCTACGTTCCAACAGCCATTTGAATCAACTTCCAGGACACTATGGATGCTACGGTGTACCATTCCTACGTTGTAACATCCATTTCGAGCAACTTCGAAGACGCTTTGGATGTTACCTTCCAAGAGCCATTTCAAGCAACTTCTAGGACACTATGGATGCTACGTTGTAAGATCCATTTCGAGCAACTTGGAAGACACTTTGAGGTGACCCGTTGATCTGGTAGCTTCCAGCTCCTGCTAATTTGGCCGAGTGTCCCTTTTTGTAGACTTGCCTGGAGCCATGAGAGCAATTTTGTGTGGGGTAAACCAAGTAAGCAAGTTGCCATTGGAAATGTTTTAAGCGGTCTTTTGTTGAAGAGCGCATGGAAGCGCATGGCTCTGCGTAGATGTGTGTGAGTTTATCGTGTTGTAGACACGTGGTGAGGCTTGGCGTCTTTCGCCTGGAAAATGTGGGAAGGAAGCCTTCGTTTTTTTTGCGGCAGTGTATTTGTGTGAGCAGATTTTCAAACCTATGGCTCCGAGGCACCCTGTAAACCATCCATTCCATGTAACATGCGATTGTTTAGAGCCTTGGCGGAGGACTTTTGAGCACAGCCAAGAGGGTCGCACTTTTTGGGGGCCGAGTCTGTGGATCAATATAGTGGCAAGCATATGCAATAGTGAGGCGAAGGAAAAATTGGAACCACGTCCCCGTGTTTTCAGACTTGCTTGCATGTGGCAGCAAACAGGTGTAGCTCGTCGCCAGTTGACATATGCCCCCAAGTCCCCCCCTAAAGGTTCCCCAGTCCCCCTAAATGCCCCCTTGGTAAACCCCTAAAGGGTTGAGTAACATATGGAATAGAGAGACAAGTCAAGATATGCCCCCATGTCCCCCCCTAAACCCCAGTCCCCCTAAATGCCCCCTTGTCCCCAGGTAAAACCCTAAAGGGTTGAGTAACATATGGAATAGAGAGACAAGTCAACATATGCCCCCAGGTCCCCCCCTAAACCCCAGTCCCCCTAAATTTCCCTTTGTCCCCAGGTTAAACCCTAAAGGGTTGAGTAACATATGGAATAGAGAGACAAGTCAAGATATGCCCCCATGTCCCCCCCTAAACCCCAGTCCCCCTAAATGTCCCCTTGTCCCCAGGTTAAACCCTAAAGGGTTGAGTAACATATGGAATAGAGAGACAAGTCAACATATGCCCCCATGTCCCCCCCTAAACCCGAGTCCCCCTAAATGTCCCCTTGTCCCCAGGTTAAACCCTAAAGGGTTGAGTAACATATGGAATAGAGAGACAAGTCAACATATGCCCCCATGTCCCCCCCTAAACCCCAGTCCCCCTAAATGTCCCCTTGTCCCCAGGTTAAACCCTAAAGGGTTGAGTAACATATGGAATAGAGAGACAAGTCAACATATGCCCCCATGTCCCCCCCTTAACCCGAGTCCCCCTAAATGCCCCCTTGTCCCCAGGTTCAACCCTAAAGGGTTGAGTAACATATGGAATAGAGAGACAAGTCAACATATGCCCCCAGGTCCCCCCCTAAACCCCAGTCCCCCTAAATGTCCCCTTGTCCCCAAAACCCTAAAGGGTTGAGTAACATATGAATAGAGAGACCTCCAACATATGCCCCCATGGTCCCCTTGTCCCCAGGTTAAACATATGGAATAGAGAGACAAGTCAAGATATCCCCCATGTCCCCCCTAACCCCAGTCCCCCTAAATGCCCCTTGTCCCCAGGTAAACCCTAAAGGGTTGAGTAACATATTGAATAGAGAGGCAAGTTACCATATGCCCCCAAGTCCCCCCCTAAACCCCAGTCCCCCTAAATGCCCCCTTGTCCCCAGGTTAAACCCTAAAGGGTTGAGTAACATATGGAAAAGAGAGACAAGTCAACATATGCCCCCATGTCCCCCAAAGGACCCCAGTTCCCCTAAATGCCCCCGTTGTCCCCAGGTTAACCTAAGGGTTGGTACATATGGAATAGGAAGACAGTCAATATGCCCCCATCCCCCCCCCTACCCCATCCCCCTAAAATCCCCCTTGTCCCCAGGTTAAAACCCTAAGGGTTGAGTAACATATTCAAATATATTGTTGATTAAGGGGCGAATGTGACCCCTTTTGGGTTAGGGGCGAATGTGACCCTCGAATAGGGGCGAATGTGACCCCCGTTCCCTTGTGAAAGGTGGACCTTTGGTGATGATGCGCGGATGGATGATGCTGGTGTACTGAAGGGAGTCCGGAATCCAGGCAACATCAAGATGTGGATCAATCCACTTGGCCCAGGACAATATCCTGCAGTGGATGGTATGGAACAAGCTGCCAAGGTGGCTGCAGCATAAAATAGCTTGTGACGAGAGGCTTTCCTGAGTATCATCAAGCCGATCACGTTGTCATACCCTTCCTCGTTCCTCATTTTCATTCTGATCATCACGGTCAATGTTGTCAATGATCAAGAAGCATGCATCATATGCATCATATGCATCATGCGTCTAACTCTCAGCACATTCGCATCCTTAGGATGTGGCCTGACATGGGACATGGCCCTGGCCCAGGTGCACTTGACTTCCTCCCCAGCTTGGACGCAGAGAAAGGGTCAACCGGCTGAGACCATCCGAGCAACAAAGGCTGCTGGCTGTGCTCCTGGGCCTGGTTACTATGCACCGGAGACGAAGGTGGAGAAGCCGGGCCGCCACAGAGTCTGCCGAAATGCGGGGCAGTTTAGCTTGATCTTCAGCCGCATTGTCACCAGCCCTACTTTGCCGAGATGCAAATCAGAAACTGCAAGTGCGTGTAGCTTTGGCAGCAAATGAGATCACCATTTCAGTTTGGCTACTGTGTTTTGTTCGTTTGGAGTGAGTGTAGTGTTACAAGTTATACATACCATCTTATACAGGCATACATGCATGTTCCAGCCAAAATGACAAGACCGGTCATCTTTACCTTTGCCTGAAAATGCTTTGTTTATGCTTCGTTTGGACGCTCAGCAACCTTCCCCGCATTCAATCTTCAGGCAGCTCAAGAGAGAGGGCAAGTGAGAGATTGGCCGAGGTCAGCTAGTAGTGTGCAAAATTGCACTGCCGAATTTGGCAGTGGATGTGACAGTCTGGCACTTTTTAGGTTCGTCCAAAGTGATCGGCGACCATTGGTCATGTCTATGAAACAGCTCGCGCTGACAGAGTGCGGCAAATTTGCGCGTAGACCGAGTCTCGCAAAGGGGAGACCGTAAGATGGCCCGCATCTTCAGAGTCTCCTGTGAGTTTGAAGTTTTTAACGTGATCAGCTTGGCAAGCAGCTGCTGGCTGTAACCTAGGCAGGGTATGTAGCCTATGTGTAGTATATGCATGTAGCAACGTAGCAGCTCTACGCTGCACGTGAGAGGGCCTTCTGAAAGAAGCTCCCTCCAGTCGTCGAGTGAATTGTCACTCTGTCTCGATCAAAGCAGCCTTTGGCCACTGTTGGGCAGGACGGCATGCACAGGAAGGCGCATCAAAATGTTTAGAAGTTTAGCATTAAGTAGAACCTCCAGAAAATCAGCCGAGAAGCTTACTTCAAACATGCATTTGTGCCAAGATGTGCCAAGGAAAGAGATGTGGGATCACCATTTGAGGCGAGGCAGATTGGATCCATGTGGCTTTGCATGAGGTCTGAATCTGCATTTCACAAACCAGTTTCATAGTTGTGACAGGCGCTGCATGGAAGCGGAGCAGAAGGACTGCTTTGTCTCATCAATTGTGCCCATGATAGAGATGTTAGAGCTTGGCATCGAGAAGTTGAAGCTTTGTTGGGAGGATTTAGATTGGAGGCAAGCTGTGGAAAGGGACCACAAGGAGATGCTCAAGGACACAGTGACACAGTTTGTTGAGGTTTAGACAATATCTCCGTTTGGACTCTGGACCACTTTGCGGCTTTGGATTATTGACATTACTGACGCTGCAGTATATTTGGATATATTTGGTGTTGTGAAATGCCCGCCAGGAACAAATCCGAGAAGCGAAGCATAGACGCGCCGAAGCCAAACGCATGACGGTTGAGCAGGTGTATCGCCTTAGAAGCTTCTTGTGTTTGTAGGTTGGAAAGGCTTGTTTTGGGCGCATATGATCAAGGCTCCTCAACTCTTCTTAAACTATGAGGCTAGTTACTAACTAGTGTTCACATGTTTTCACCACTTTCCACACAATCTCCTCGTTGAATCTCTTAAGGCATCTCAGCATGACTTCCCTGACTTCTCAAAGCCTTCGAACGTCTCGGTCCAGCGCCAAGCATTTGCTTCATGGCTTCTTGTGCTCTTCGTGCTGCATTCAGATGACGGAGCACCAGGTCCATGACTTCATCGTGGAACGCCAAGCAAATTTGAGAGACGATCTCAACCAACAGGTGGCTTCATGCCATTCGAGGTTCATCAGGATCTTGCCACCTCTTGCCGCCTCTTGCCACATCATAGTACAAAACCACACAAAATCACGACGTAAACACAGATCGCACATGCCTCCTGCCGCTTCTCCATAGCGCCCTATGAGAAACAGAGCATGAAGACCTGCAAAGCTGGAAGGTGGAACTGAAGCGGAGGCAGAAGGAACAAAGAAAAGCGTTGGACCACGTCGATGCCTGAGAATGAACAGACTCCTTGTCACAACACTGACAGTAGTCACCACAGCTATCACTGTTCAATACTTTTCAACTGGCAATGGATGGCAATGGATGGCAATGGTTTGTATTGTGTTTCACATTGACCCATCCCTGACCCATCTTTGACCCATCTTAGAGTCGTTAGGAGTTGGATCGCATCAACAACTTGGCTTGTCACAGAGACCTGGTCGAGTCCCCGCCTTGGGGATCGGACAGAATTCCTCCAGCTTGGCTTGGCTTGATCTATTAATCATTATTAATCTATTAGTCTTAGAACGTCTTAGTCTTGGTGGGTCTTAGCCGGTAGTGGCTTAGGTTTCCTACGGTTTCCTTCAGATATGGAAACTCCCCTTGATCAAAACTTGCAGGGAAGGCTGAAGGCGATGTTTCCCGTTCACTTTCTGTACATATTGTTGGGGCAGTGTATTTGTGGAAGCCCTGCAGCTATACAAGATCACTGTCAATGAGTGCTTATAAGTCAGTCTAGGCTTCAGTACAGCCTTTAGGCAAAAACTCCGAGATCGCGAACGTGGACGCGCAGCTCTCCAGGACGGATCTCAAAATCACCGATGCTCAGTCGCTTTCCAACTGCTTTCCAACTGTTCAAAACGTGGAAGTCAGACGAAGGAAGTGTAACTGTACGTACATTTTCTACCGTGCCAGGAATGCATGCAATCATGGGAGGACACCAAGCGTCATACACCCAGCCACTCTAGGTTACTTTCAGAGGCACATGCCGTTGCAAGTTTTACTTAACACAACTCCGAAGTGTGCAAAACCTGTTATCATCCCACTTCTTTCCAATTCTCACTTACTAATCTTGCTAAGTTTGTGTGGATTTTTACGCAAGGCATGACACAAAATGATCGTGCCTGGCAAATCATCTCAGTTTGGGGTGCTGGCACCTGAAACTTGACTCAGCTGCAGAGGTATCAGGGATGCAGAGAAAGCCGTTGCGGAATTCAAGAAGAAACCGAGCACGTAAGGTTCCAAAATTCTTGCCTCGGTGCTGAAACTTCCTGTTGGTACTTTCAGCATTAGAGCCACACATGGAAACGTATGAGCACCATCCCCTGCTGTCCTGAGTAATTTTTCGACGTGTCATGAGGAGTCATGACGTGTCCATTTGCTGCGCCTGGGTCTTGTCATGTCGTGTCATGTCTCATGTCTTGTCTCATGTCTTGTCTCATGTCTTGTCAACTTGTCATCTGGGTTGCTGGTGGTTGCCCTCGACCTAGGTGTCGTGCTGGCTTGGTGGAGATGCTGTCGAGTCTCCGCAATCCTGATGAGCGAAGCATGAGCCCAAGAGAAATCCGTGCCCCGGCAACTGCAAACGTTGATGGACTACCTGCCTTTGAGTACGGGAAATGTCTGGAAATGTAACTGATAATTTCATGTAGCTGATATGTATCACTGTATCACTGAGATTTCATCAAGGTGTCAAACCAGGTGCTGCAGGAGCTCCACAGGACTTTACATGGGACTTTAGGCAGTCTCTGCAGTTTCATCAATCTCAGGTGGACGAGAGAAGACTCCTCAACTGCAGGCACCGCAGGTGATGGAGCCAATACAGATGTAGATTGCTCAGGTGGAGTCAGAGAAAAACATGTCATCGAGCTGGTCAAATTCATGGGATCTATTTGGATCCAGGGTGTCAAATGTGAAGGCAACCTGGCAACCTGGCCCTGAAATTGACAGCTGTGCCTAGGCCACAAAGCGCTAGACCGCAGCGTGTGAACTTGGGAGACCAATTGCCATTTCCTCAGTGCAAACCGATCCAAACTGGAAATCGATACACGATGATACAGGATGATACAGGATGATGCATTGTAAAATTGTATCATAATTGTATCATACAAGCCGTTTGTCCAAAGGGGCTTGAGAGACGATCCCCCGAGAAGCATCCCATGTAAGGCCTCCAACTCCCAGTGATGATGCGATTTCCATGTCCTGGCCTTGTTTTGCCTTGTTTTGCCTTGTATGACATTCCATTTTTTCTGGCTGACCCATTGTTCATGCAATGCCATGCTAAAGCATGCGCGTCTTCTGGAGTGTGAACCACAGAGTATCACGTCACAACACCATCATTTTGGATCATTTTTGAAAAGGATGGTATATTTTTTTAGGTTTTTTTTTTGTTTTTTTTTAGTTTTTTTTTTGTTTTTCAGTCTGGAGCAGCTTTCCCTGCTATTTGCTGCTCTTTGGAGCTAAAATCTGTGTTTTGCATGCATTTTGGAGCTAGGATCTCTCATTTGCACGCCCACTTGGCTTTTGGCTTCAAGTGCCCACTTGGCTTTTTGGCTTTTGGCTTTTTGGCTTTTGGCTTTTGGCTTTGCTCGGGCTTTCTTTTGGCTTTTAGCTTTTGGCTTCACTTTGGCTCTTGGCTTTTGGTTATTGGCTTTTGGCTTTTTGGCGTTTAGTTTTTTTGGGCCATGGCTTTTGGCTTTGGCTTCACTTTGGCTGTTGGCTTTGGGCTTTGGCTTCACTTGGCTTCTGGCTTTTGGCTTTCTGTGGCCCCTTATCTCCTCGATAAGTCAAGAAAAGACATAATCTGGCTTTTGGCTTTTTGGCTTCACTTGGCTTTTGGCTTTGGCTTCACCTGGCTTTTGGCGTTTGGTTTTAGCTTCACTTGGCTCTTGGCTATATTGTTTTGAACTACTCCATGTTACGGGAAAGAAGGGAAATAAGACTCTTATTTCCCTTAATATACGTAAAGAAAAGATACATAATGATAGTTGAACTACGTATTCCATGCTTCGGGAAATGAACGCAGGAAAATAAGACCTTTTGGCTTCGGCTTCACTTGGCTCTTGGCTTTGGCTTCACCTGGCTTTTGGCTTTTGGCTTATATACGTAAACCCTAAATAAACCCTAAACCAAACCCTGCATATAGATATATATATATATATTAAATACACGTGTAAACGCACTGATCTACATATACATATAGTCATGATTAGTCATGCATATACCTTTTTACATCTACAATTTGTAGTTTGCACATCGTGTATTTCCAAAAATAAATGAAAACTTCAATAAAAAACAATGAAAACCATGTAAAAATCAATGAACAACTCTGGAACCAGAAATGAAAACAAGTGAAAACTGAATGAACACCATGCACAAATTGAAGAAAAACATAGAAAACATGAAGAAAACCATTGAAAAATGGAAGAACACCATGGAATATCGAAGAAACCATAGAACAATTGAAGAAAACCATAGAAACATTGAAGAAAACCATGGAACAATTGAAGAAAACTCGATAGAAACCATTGAAAAAAAAACTGAAACCAGTCGAAAAATTGATTAACAGTGCGAATGAGAGATTTTAGCTACAAAATGCAGCAAATGAGTGATTTTAGTTGCAAAAACCAAGGGAGGGAGCCTGGACGACCAAAAAAAAAACAAACAAAAAAATAAAAAAATCCCCAAAAATGCGCACCCATTAATAAGTGTCCTAACTAGCCCTTTTAGGGAAAAAAAACGCATGACAGGACACTTGTTGAATCTGGACTCCAACTATATTCATGTCATTTGGGTTGAGCAATTGTTGCAAGAAACTCAGACGTTTACTCGTGGGTTTCTATGCATGCTTGTGCGAGAGGAACTAAAACTCTTTTCAACAAGTGTCCGGACTAGCCCTTTTCCATCATTGAAAACCCTTGTTTCAGGACACTTGTTGGATTTGGTGTGTATTGGCTTCTGGTGGTTGTGGCTTCGCTTGGCTTTTGGCTTTTGGCTTTGGTTTCACTTGGTTTTTGGCCTTGGCCGTTTTGGCTTTTATGCAGATATCTAATGGAAAATGAAGGAAAACTAAGGGAAAATGAAGGAACACTAACGGAAAATGAAAGAAACCAATTGGAAAATAAAGAAAAACTGATAGAAAATGAAGGAAAACTAATGGAAAATGGAACATGAAAGAAAACCAATGGAAAACTAATGGAACAACTATTGGAAAATGAAGGAAAACTAATGGAAAATGAAGGAAAAGTAATGGAAAATGAAGGGAAACTAATGGAAAATGAAGGAAAACTATTGGAAAATGAAGGAAACGTAATGGAAAATGAAGGGAAACTAATAGAAAATGAATGCAAACTATTAAAAAATGAAGGAAAACTAATGGAAAATGGAAGAAAACTAATAGGAAACCAAAAAACAAAAAAATCCTTAAAAAAAACAAAAAAAAATCCTAAAAAAAATCTTCGCCCTTTTGAAAATTCATTCTAATCCAGCAATCACGCAATTGTTATTGAAAGATGAAATGCTAGAGTGTGTATGCATGTCATAGTCATACTTGATTTGGTTTCTGCATGGGGTCCTCAAAGATTTGTAGGAATCTGACGCGAGATCAGCTTTGTTGAGACAATTTGAGATGGAGATGTTGCCGATTCCGTGGTGTGTGTGCATGTTTTGGTATGTTTTTGCATCATACTCATGAGGACATGGCTTGACCCGATGTGACATGATGTGACAACATGCTTTGAGTCAAAATCCTTGGAGTTGTGTTTGCACTGTTTGGGTTCGGGCTGCACTGCAGACCAATGTCGAGTCGCCCAACCACGGGCTCTGTGCGAAGATTTCCCATTTCGGCCGCGGCATCGTTGGTTTGGGGCTCAGCTAGAGGAGCAGAATACTGTAGAGCAGCTTCTGTCTCAACCAGTGAAGAAGGATCGGAAGAATCGGAAGGTCCCCACTGGCAACAAAATATACAATATGTATCAATATGTAGCAAAGATGTTGGAATCTATCGGCAATATGGTCCACACTCATGCACACACACACACATGCACACATGCACAACGCTCAATGCATAGCAGCCTTACACACACAAGTATAAAATAGTATAAATAAATAAATATATATATATATAAATGAAAAATAAATGAAATAAATAGACAATAGATAAAAAAATAAATAAATGGAACATAGATATATGATAAACTAAATAAATGAACAATAGATAAATGATAACATAGATAAATACATAAATAAATAAATGAATAAATAAACAAACAAACAAACAATAATAAATAAATGATTAAATAAATAAATAAATACAATTTGAATTGAAAAACTGGAACCACCCCCAAAAACACAAGAAGTAAAAGTGACAAGCGTGCGCCTTTTTACAGCGCATGTTGAGCCAAATGTATTGGCATGTCAAAGAGATAAATAAATAAATAAGTAAAACATAAAAGAAAAACACACACACACATGCACACACACACAGACGCATATATATATACACATAATTCTAACACATACACATTTATAGCTTGCTGAGACGTACTGCATAGGAAACCATGTCCTCAAGAGATGACAGCGGGTGATTTGAGGTAGGCTCATGTTTATGCTGTCAACATTTGTCAACCCATGTCCTGGTAGCACATTATATCCCAGGGTCCTAGGGCAAAAGTGGAATACAACAGTCTTGTTATGAATCAATGGCTGCTGGACTAGTGCACTTGTATACAACAGGAAAGCCGAGACTTCCGAAAGTACCTTCAGGGAAGCACGTCGCTGGCATCACCTTTCCCCGCAAGCACTGGAAGTGTTCTATCAAAGTCAACTGTGACTACAGCCATTGTATGGCACAAAATAGGAAATCGAATGAAAAATAGGATACAAGTGAGCAGACAATACGCCATCGAGGCAGCCAAAAAAAATCAGCATCCAAAAACAAGCCGTTTGAGTTCACTGCAGCCCGAACCAAACTGCCGTGTGAACATATTGTCGGACAGGCAAAAGTTTGAGCGTTTCATGGTGAATGCCCGGTGAACACCTGTGAAGACCAGTGAGATCTGGTTTTGTTCCTTTCAGGCTTTGACAAAGCAGCGTCTGAAGGAGCGAGGGATGCAACGACCATCCTAGCCGATGACTCTGTGTGTTGCAACACACCGATGCAGATGAGTAGCCAGAATGGCCAAGACAGGTGTGGAATCCTGATACTTGACATTTCTATTAAACGGAGAAAGATTGAGGGTGCATGGAAACATGTCAGTTTGTAAACCTCAAGAGGCTTCAGAACAGAGGGGACATGTGAAGACAAATTGTTTGTTGTTATCGAAGGCAAACCTTTTCCCCGGTACAACTTTGCATTCGAAGGTTTACACAGGAAAGTTTCACATTGTTTTTCACTTGCCAAAGCGCTGCCTCCACAGTTGATGTTTGCATTTCAGCAGAGTGGGTAGAAAAATCGCGCACCATCAGATTGTGCACCATGCTCGCTCCTCTTCACTGCAATTCGGTTTGTTCTACAGTAGGCTCGCAAGCTAGGTCCCATAAGAAAGGGCTGGATGCCCATAGACTTTCGTCAATTTTTCCCCAACAGCGTAAGCTAATGGGGTCTTCAGCCCAGAATCGCTCCGGTGTGCACTGGTGCAGGAGCCGGGTCAGGTTCAACGAGGTTCCGGAGAAGGTTCCGAAGGTTCCGGAGAAGGTTACGGGAGGCTTTGGTGCAGAGCCAGGTCAAGTTCACCAGGGTTCCCAGAAGAAGGTTCCGGAGAAGGTCTGGAAGGTCTGGAAGGCTTTGCAAGGTCAGGTTCAAAAGGGTTCCGGAGAAGGTTCCGGAGAAGGTTCCGGAGAAGGTCTGGGAAGCTTCGGTGCAGAGGCGGGTCAGGTTCAACAGGATTTGCGGCCATTTAACTCACGGAACCCAGCTGAGGTGTTTCCAGCGCTTGGCTTGGCAGCACGTTTCAGACAGATTTGTGAAATTAAATCGTTGCGGCTACAGTTGCTTTCGCCGCTGCAGTCAGGGCCTATTCAACTACTCAAAACTTGGGCATGTGCATAGGGCCCATTCTCACACAGGTTTTCCGACAGGTGCACCTTTGACATCTCAAGATTTAACTGCTGCTTTTCCAATCTGGCAGCGGAGCTTGGATAGCTCCATTTGTCCCCCAACGCTCAGCTTCTACCCTTGCTGACGCCATCTTGCGCTGTTCTTGGTCTACTCGACCTACGACACGATCAGGCACCACGAGCACCACGACTTCTAGGTCTTTTGGGGCCCACGACATCTTCGTCTTCCGCCAGGTGAGTCCTCGAGCACGCTGGCGGGGTGATTTCCGAGTGGCCATCCTCCTCTTCTGCCAGGTGATCCTCGAGCACGCCGGCTGGGTGATTTGGTGTTGACTTCTCGCACTACTGCCAGGTGATCTTCGAGCACTTTGGCTGGGTGAATCCCGACACGTTCCTGGTGGAGTTGGCTGTGATCGCACTACATCATCGACGATGGCGACTACCAGCTCGGGAACCAACACCGGCAGAGTGCCGTTAGAGTAATATCGTAATATCGACGTGAAATTCCTCCAGGTTGGGACCCTGCGATGGCAGCTAGCTATCCACTGAAAACTTACCTTGAACGTGTCAAGGTCTGGTACAGACTATGGGATGGACCGGATGAGTCGGTGGGGCCACTAGCTGGCCGGTTGCGTGGCCGTGCACAAGCCATTGCAATGAACCTGAGGCTGCCCACTCCGCACGGTGGTATGGACATCGGTGACACGGCCCTGATCCGACTTCCAGTTGACCGAGTGGAAGGCCCTACAACTGGTGAGGTGATACAACACCCAATACCATCCGGTGCCCAAGCTCTACTATCAGCACTTCGAGCAGCGTTCGGAGAAGCGGAGCAGCTCTTGGCGACGAAGGCTTTGGAGACGTTCTTCGAGTTCCGCAGAGGACGTGCCGGATTCAATGGCAGTTGAACTACGAGGAGGCCGTGACCCATGCTGGATTGGGCGTGAACCAGGTAGCCAAGACCTACTTGTTCTGCAAATCCAGCGGCCTCGAACAGAAAGCCATTGACGACTTGCTGTTGCAGGTTCATGGAGACATGAGAAGATTCAAGGAGTTCAGATGGAACAGCTGCAGTGCCACGCACGAGCGATGGATGAAGACATCAACACGCTATTCCGAGCGGTTCGTCGTGGTGCTCCTCCTCCTCCTGATGAACCCTCATCATCAAGGCAGAGGACAGCTTTGGGCGACAGCAGAACACCCAACAGGGAACCAGAAGGACATCCTCCTGGCAGTGCGTCTACCGGACGGCAACCAGAAGAGGAGACCTATCTCGAGACAGACTTTCTGGAGAGAGCTTCAAGGTCGAGAGACTCCGAGCTGGACGAGGACACTCACGATCCAGAGGTGCTGCAAGAAAGAGCCCGAGATCGTGCAGCGTTGAGGCACAACCTCCTCATCGAGAACAACAACCTGCAGATCTACCTGGTGCGACGAATGATGGACTTTCCCAATGGACACGCCCCATTCGACATCGTGGATGAACTGTGTGGAGAACATGCTCCTCACGCACCATTGGTGGGCTATGGCGACGATCCCAATATATCCCAATGAGCGCATTGAGATTGTGGAAGCCGAGAACCATGAGGTGACCTATGAGTTGCACGAGTCCGAGGGTACCGTGTACAGGTTCACCAACCTTTTAGGTTTGCATGGTTTTAGGTTGGACAGAATGGTGGCGAGATTGCAGGATGATCTGACAAGACGTCAGTTTGCCATCAGAATCCGCAACTCGTACCGCCACTTCTCACAGTTGGACCTGGAATAAGTCCCAAGCCAGCTCTAACACATGAGCAGATTCAAAACTTGGGCATGTGCATAGGGTCCATTCTCACACAGGTTTTCCGACAGGTGCGCCTTTGACATCTCAAGATAAAACTGCTGCTTTTCCAATCAACTACCAACTACTGCAACCATGAAAGCATTTGTAGAGAGTTGTGAGCACGTGCTAGAATGGTCAGGCAAATCAAGTAGAATTAGAAGAGCTGCAGCAATTCGATGCACTGATGTGCTGTAATATGCTGTAATTTGTACATGTTTGGCTCGCAGAAACTAATTTAGTTTGATTGCCGCAGCAGCATGCCCGCTACTGTGGCGGATTTGGCAGCTGCTGCTCTCGCACGCTGGGAGGCAGTTCCCATACTTGAATACATTTGGCACACATACACTATACAAATACTGTAGGTGTGGGAAAGGGAAAGTAAGAAATCCATTCTCAACTTGTCAGGTTGAGGATGAGAGTGGCTGGCATCCTTGCGATCAGAAGGCGTTGTCAGTCTAGCTTCTGACGCCTTTTGGTGCCACCATGTGCCACTCTTTATTGAAGTCCTGTGTGGAGCAGGTTCTCGAGTGCTTACGTGTTGCTGGTGCTGGGCAGAAGCTTCACGTGCCATGCGCCGTGGGCGAGCGAAAGTGCGAGCTGCACTTGGACGCTCGTGTTGAGGTCGACTGCATGACTGGCAAGCGAAGGCCTGGGATGACACGATGCATATTCAGCACACAATCATAAAGATTTGATCAACATGCGCCAGTGTTTGTTTGACTTTCCTGAGTCTTCAAATAATCGTGAAGAGATTGCTCATCACTGTATAATGTATCCATGTTCACCTGTGCTGCAGCTGCATGTCATAAATCATATATACTCGAGTTTACTGAACGACTTCAGATTGTGTTTTTTCCCTCCCTCCCTCCCTCCCTCCCTCCCTGTCTCTCTCTCGCTCTCTCGCTCTCTCGCTGTCTCGCTGTCTCGCTGTCTCGCTGTCTCGCTCTCTCGCTGTCTCGCTCTCTCGCTGTCTCGCTGTCTCGCTCTCTCGCTGTCTCGCTCTCTCCCTGTCTCGCTGTCTCTCTCTCTCTCTCTCTCTCGCGCTCTCTCTCTCTCTCTCTGGCGTCTCTCTTCGGTCGCATAGGGGGTCTCTCAGTCTCCCCCCCCCCCCTTCCCCCTCTCTTTTCCATTGCCACGCAGATCAATCTATTTATTATGAGTTCATTGCATGACTCGTGTCTTTTGCCAACGTGTTCCATTTATTTTGAAACTTCGAAACTTCGAGGCGCTTGCGCATTGCAAGCCCCACGGAGAGAGAAACTGCAGCGGTTGCAGCAGCAGCAGCAGCAGGCCCCTACTGGTATCCTTTGACAGAGCAGACACCCGAGTAGTTTCCTGTCTTGTGAACCTTCAGTGGTCAAGGTGCAACTTTGCCTAGTCTCGCGGAAAGTGCAACAAAGTTCGCACCCAAGCTGCTGACTTCCATTTCGCCCTTAGAATACAAGCCATCAGTTTGATACAGCCAAGTAAGTACAATCAATTGAAGCAATTTGATATACAAGTGCGGCATAGTGTGGCATGAAATGGAAGAATGTGTTGACAGGCCAGTGCTGGAGCCAGGGCAGAGTGCAGAGGTGACGTGTGAATTTGTGGTGATTCCAGGCACCTCCAGGCACCTCTGTGGTTTGCTACGCAAGGCGGGTAGGCTTCCGAGAAAGACCTTGTCTGGATACTTCATTAAGACGAAGGAGAGCAAGGAGAGCAAGGAGCCTGCTGAACAGGTCGAATCTGGCATCGACAGAGAGCCAGTTGCATCTTTAAGTCTTTGCGCTGCTCATTTTTGCCGCATCGGCCTGACAAGTTGGTTTGGTTGTCCAAGCTATTCCAAACTGTTCTGTGTGTTGCCATGTCTGCAGCGGGACCCAGCATGAATCTACCTGTATGGGCCCCACTGGTCGCAACAGGCCCAAAGCAGCAGTTCTGCTGCTGTTTGGGGTGGAGGAGGAGGAGGAGGAGGAGTCGATGGTGCATGGTTTCAGAGCTCTCACGACTTTGCTGTAGAGTTACGCCAATGCAAACCACGGAACGCCGACTGAGTTTCCTTCGCTTGTGGCACTTTTGACTTGAACATACCTGAGCCAAGTAGCAACAAATAACAGCGAAGCAGCAGCCAAGTAGCAACTAGAGCAGCGTAGCAGGCGTAGCATGATATTTGTGACCCCCACCTTCCGTAAGCAGGAGCCGCGGGCCCAGATCGACCCAGCGCCGAAGCAACGGCATCTGGCAGTAGCACAGTTGCTGATATTGCCGACCCCAAGACAGGTGGGAGCCGCATTTCTTCCCCTTCTTTCTTGTCAACTTGTCAACCTGGATTTGGGAGATTTCCATGAAACAGCCAGCTTCCCCTTAATATGTGCAATGGTGATGTGAATATGTTATTGCAGGGCTTCGTGAGAGGTGGTGGGCTCCAATGCGTCAGGGAATAGAAGTAGCAGAGTAGCACTTCCAGATCCCATGAGCTTGCCCTGAATGCCATGGCGTCGAGATTCAGCCGTTGCTGGAGGACATTTGGAAGACAGTTGCAGGTAAGAACTGCCCCTTTGAGCTCCCACACGTCTAGGCTTGAAACGTCTTCTTTCCAAGGGAATCGTGCTCCAATTTCGTGTCTGTTTTCAAGGAGGCATTTTACAGAGCTGACCAAAGGATTTCGATACCTGGAAGATTATCGATCAGGATCTGGAACTTTGCGGCGGTTTGCCTCGACACATGAGATCCTGGCAAATCGTGATATACCGTTTCAGCGCGTCCGTGTGGTGGATGACAGCGGTCTCGTTGGTGATTTCAACTTGCAGGAAGCTCTGATTCTAGCAAAGGAGAGGCGAACTGACCTTGTGGTCTTGTCAGGTCAAGTGGATCCACCACTATGTCGTTTGGTGAATTTGCATGTCTACGTCGATGAACTGGAAAAACAGGCTGCTTCCAAAGAGCAGAAGCAGCGAGAGCAAAAACTCAGGGAGTTTTCCTTCGACCCAGCCATGAGGGTAAAAGGTTGGGCATGGCAAAATGTGTTGTCAACCGGGGGAAAAGAACGTGGACCGTATGTGGAACATATATGGAATATCATGGAACCCAAAATGTGATCTGGAAGATGATTTCGATTGGAAATTGCAGTTTTGGGGTCCGTGTTAGTTTTCAGGGTGTCGTGCGTCCAAATCTATTTTAGTGTGTTAGAGGTTCAGTTTTAGAGACAGGTCCACTTCCCAATCTCACTTCCGAGATCCAGGCATGCGCTTTGCCACCGTGATCGCCGAACATGATTTCGAGAGGAAAGTGAATCAGGTCAGAGACTTCTTGAAAAAAGGGCATCGAGTTGAGGCCCGCATCTTGCAGTCACGAGGCACTGCTGAAGATGTCCTGGACTTGGCGCTCCGGATCGTTGCTGAAGTGCGCGACATTGCAAAACCAGAGTATTTTGAGGCAAGGTCGGGTGACCGAATCAGAATGGTTGGGTAGTGTCAGGTACACCTGTGATTTGGTGCATGTGTACAATACTGCCTCTACCTATCGCCCGCATTTCTACAATTTTCTACATTTCCTGTCCATTTATCTATCTATCTGCCAACCTATCTGCCTATCTAACTGCACTGAACTCAACTAAACAAACAAACCATCTATCCATCCATCCATCCATCCACCCACCCAGCGACCCATCCATCCATCCATGCATCCAGCCAGGCAGCCATCCATCCATCCATGCATCCGCAATTCCACCTAATACAATGCATTCCATATACAGTATTACCAGTATATATATATAGTTATATAAATACATGTACCAGTAGTGCAGCACAAGGCGGTGGCAGAAGTTTCAAGGATAGGACTGGAGAGGTGAGTTGTTGTGATGCATGGATGGCAGAGCGAATCCACTGATGCAACGAAAGGGGAATTGTGTACTGCAGTGCAGTCTAGTGTAGTGTGAAGTAGCGCAGTTGTAGTTGTAGCTGTCGTTGTAGCGTAGTGTAGTGTAACTAGTGTAGTTGTAGTGGTAGGTGTTGTTGTAGTGTAATTAGTGTAGTGTAGCGTTGCGTAACGTAGTTGCAGTTGTAGTTCTAGTCTTAGTCGTAGTCGTAGTCGTAGTTGGAGTGTAGTGTAATTAGTGTAGTGTAGTGTAGTGTAGTGTAGTGTAGTGTAGTGCAGTGCAGTGTAGTGTAGTGTAGTGTAGTGTACGTAGTGTAGTTGTAGCTGTAGTAGTAGTAGTAGTCGTCGTCGTCGTCGTCGTCGTAGTATTAGTAGTAGTAGTAGTAGCAGTAGTAGTAGTAGTAGTAGTTGTAGTAGTTGTAGTTGTAGTTGTAGTTGTCTATCTATCTATCTATCTATCTTTCTTCTATCTATCTATCTATCTATCCATCCATCGATCGATCGATCTATCGATCGATCGATCTATCTATCTATCTACCTGTCTATCTGCAAGCTTGAAAACGAAGCTAATTCTGCGAGACCTCACTTTTTGAACTTGGCATCATCAAAAACGCGGCAATTCTGCGAGACTTCCTCAGTCTTTTTACTTGACAACGACGTCAAAAACGAAGCAATTTTATGAGACTTCCTTCCTCAACTTTCGAAGTTGGCAACATCAAAAACGAAGCAATTCTGCGAGACTTCCTTCAAAAATGGAAAGTTGAGTGCAGAGCTGACGGCCTCGTACTCCATCTGTGTCAAGTGGTGCTGCGCCTGCCACGCAAAAGTGATGCCAGGTCATACGAAGTTCTGCACCTGTCACGCAAAATCATCTTAGCAAACCTGAAGATCTGATGCTCCAAAATGCAACCTCTCTCAGGAAATCAGCGCCCATCTCCTAACATCTCTGATGAACATGTCTCTTGTACTACGCTTGCCACGGAAAATGCATCTTTGCAGATCCTCTTCAAATGTCCCACGCCTGCCAACGCTTTTGAAACTGCTACAAAAACCCTCACGTCTTGCTCACTTTTGACAAGGTCCACAATCCCTTGCGCCTGCCACGCGAAAGCACATCTGAACGTCCAAAAGTGCCCCCGTACCCCACCGTTTTTTTGCACTTTTGACTTCGAAATGTGCTTCGTGCCACAACGGCGTGCACTTTTTCGACGTTGCAACTTCCAAAAGTGGTCCGAAACTGGTGTGTTTTGTACATTTTGACTTCGAAATGTGCTTCGCGCCACAACGGCGTGCACTTTTTCAACATCTCAACTTCCAAAAGTGTTCCGAACCTGGTGTGTTTTGCACATTTTGACTTCAAAATGTGCT